GAAGAGCCTCTTGAGCCCCTCGTCGCCCCAGTTGAGCTGCACCCATTTGGTGAGGGACAGCAGCAGCACCACGTCAAACTCGGGGCGCTGGGCCCCCACCGCCTCCTCCCGCTCCGGGACGTAGTTCCCCTGCGGGTGGGCGAGGGGTCAGGGGGTTTGGGGGGCACCGGGAGGGGTTTGGGGGCACCGGGAGGGGTTTGGGGGGGCACCGGGAGGAGTTTTGGGAGCACTGGGAGGGGTTTTGGGGGGCTCAAGGCTGAGCCCCACAGAAGGGTTTTGAAGTAGCCATTGAGAGGTTTTGGAAGTTGAGTGGCACATATTTTAGAAGGGTTTTGGGGGGCTGGGGGGCACCTTCTAGTCCCATCCAGGATTTTGGGGGGGTGGGCACACATTGAGAACCACACACTGAACCCCATCCAGGGGTTTTGGGGGCCCCACACAGACCCCGAGAATGGAACGGGGGCAGCCCCACATCCCTCCAACCTCCTTCACCCCCAAAACCCACCTGAGACCCCCCCCCAAAAAATCCCCCTACACCACTTGCTACTCCCAAAACCCATCTAAGACAACCCTAGGCTCACTGAGCACTTCCAAACCCCCCATTATCTCTGTAGGCCTACCAAAACTTCCCAAAACCCATCCAAAATTCTCTTAAAACTTTTCTCATCTCCTCCAACTCCCCTGTGGTCTTCTGAAACCCACCGAGACCCCCTAAAACTCAACAAAGAACCCCCTAAAACCCACCGAGACCCCCTAAAACTCAACAAAGAACCCCCTAAAACCCACCGAGACCCCCTAAAACTCAACAAAGACCCCCCTAAAACCCACCGAGACCCCCTAAACTCAACAAAGAACCCCCCTAAAACCCTCGTGAATCCCTCATACCTACTGATCACTCTCTAAAACATTCTTCACACACCTTTTAAAACCATCTCGAAGGTCCTCCAAACCCCCATACACATTTGTCACCCTTTTAAATCCCCCAAAAAGTGTTTACAAYTCTCTTCAAACTCCTTATACGCAGTAAAGCGTTGTGCATCCCGTTAAACTCTCCACTCCTTCACAAAGACGCCCCAAAACCGATTCGAGACCTCGCCAGAACTCTCTTGGGGCCTCTTTTAGATGCGCCAAACCTCCTCAATTCCCTTCTTCCCGCTCCTCACTCTCCCAAATCGCCCCCCCAAACCTCCCCTCGCCCCCTTACCGTGACGAACACCACGTTGTGCGGGAAATCGGCGGCTCCGGGCCCGTCCGGCGGCAGCTGCGGGGCGGCGATGGGACCCCGGCTGGCCAAAAGCGCGGCGGGGAAGCCTTTCCTGGCCCCGCCAGCGGAGTCACCGTCCGCCCCCAGCCCTTCGGACAGATAGTGGCGGATGTTCTGGCGGGCCGAGCGGATCAGCCGCCCGTCAATGTCCAGCCCCACGACCCGGGAGGGYGCCCAGCGCTTGGCGATGCTCAGCGTGAGATGCCCCACGTTACAGCCCACGTCCAGCACCTCCTTCCCCGCGAACCACTCGGGCCGCAGCGCCCGCAGCCGCGCGTCCTCCACGTCCGGGTTGCGGTAGCCGTAGTATTTGCAGTAATTCCCGTACTGGAATTTGCGCACTTGGTGCCGCGGCCGCTGCGCCGCTTTACCGGGGGGTTTGGGCTTCTCGGTGGTGGCGGTGGTGGAAGGAGGGGGCGGCGGGCGAGGGCCCTCGGATTTGCTGCAAGTCCGTCGGCGCTTGCGGTGCCGGCCGGGGGCGGGGAGAGCGGCGGGGCACGGCGGGGCGGTGGGAGCGGCGGAGGGTTCGGCGGGGCGGGCGGGTTCTTCACCGGGCCCGGTACCGGTAGCGGTGGCGGTGGCGGTAGCGGTGGTGGCGGCGCTGCCCCGTTGCTGCCCGCGGTGGCGATGCCGGCGCCGAGCGCTCTTGGCCGGGGAAGCCAAGCGGAGCCCCTCGCCCGGCGCGTTGAGGCTCAGCGGGTCCGTGATGTCCCGCGGCACCAGGATCTCCACGGGGTCGCGGCCGCGCTGCGGGAGCGGCGAGGACTGCGGGGTGCGCGCGTTCAGCGCCCGGCTCACCTCCTCGTCCAGGAGGCTGTTGAGGTTGAGCGGGTCGAAGATGTTCCCGCCGAGCAGGAACTCGGACGGCAGCACCGGGCCGCACTCCGAGGCCGCGCGGCGCCGCCGCTTCCACGCCGGCTGCTTCGCCCCGCAGCTGCTGCGACGCTTCCCGCCGCCACCGCCGC